GCCCCTGCAGCACCCAGGTCACCGGGGACCTGGGTGGGGGAGACGGACGTGGGGGACGGACATGGGGATGGACGGACCCACTGGGGAGACCTGGAGCTACAGGGGACACAGGGACGCACCGGCAGGGACACACGGAGCCGTGGGGACGGATGGACGTGTGGGGACACATCGGGGACACGTGGAGCCACGGAGACACACGGATAGGCCGGTCCGAAGGGACACACGGAGCCACGTGGACAGACAGACGGAGCCAGGTGACAGACGGAGGTCACAGACACCATCCCCGTCCCCATTCCTGTCCCTGTCCTTGTCCCCATGCCCATCTCTGTGACTTCCCCCTCCCTGTTCTGTGTCCCCTCCTCTGTCCTGTGTCCCCATCCCCATCCCCATCCCTGTTCCCATGCTCAGCCCCATCCCTCTCTCCATCCCAACCTCTCTCCCCATCGCTGTATCTGACCCTGTCCCCATCGCTGTATCTGACCCTGTCCCCAACCCTCTGTCCCCATCAATGTCCCTAATCAATGTCCCCATCCCTGTCCCCATGCCTGTGTCTCTGGCCATCTACATGTTTCTCTCTGTCCCCATCACTGTCCCCAACCTCATCATCATGTCCTGGACCATCGCCATGTCTATCTAACATGCTCCCATCAATGCTCCCATCCCTGTTCCCATCAATGTCCCCATCCCTATGTCCCAGGTCATCTCCATATCCCTCCTTGCCTCTCCCTGATTGTCCCCCTCAATGTCCCCCTTGCCATTCCTGTGTTCCTGGACATCTCCATGTCTCTCTAACCTGCCCCCATCAACGTCCCCAACAATATCCTCATCAATGTCCCCATCCCCATTGTACATTCCATCCCCATCCCCACCACTGTCCCCATCACCGTCCCGTTCCCCCCGTGTCCCCACGGTGCCACGTACGGGTGCGGAGGCGCAGGGTGCTGGGCGCCCCGGGGTGCTGCTCCCGTCGCACCTGCACCGACACCTCGTAGGTGCCACCAGGCACCAGCCCCGTCGCCTCGAAGGTGCCGGCCTCACCGGGCAGGTCATGCATCGTCACGACCTCCGCCTCGTCCTGGGGACAAGGACACAACACTGGGGACACCGTGGGTGACAGACACGACCCCCAGTGTGGCCCTGGGGAGCTCGCGGGGGGCCCTGGCCAAGGGCTTGTCCTGGGGACACGTTGGGGACATGTTGGGGTTGTGTTGAGGATGTGTTGGGAACACGTTGGGATTGTATTGAGGATGTGTTGGGAACGTGTTAAGCACATGTTGGGGACATGCTGAGGACACACTGGGGACGTGTTGAGGCCACCACCTTGGGGACCATCCCTATCCCCATCCCTGAGTTGGGTCATGGCCATGGACTCATCCTGGGTCCATTGGGGACACACTGGGGACGTGTTGAGGATGCATTGGGGACATTATGGGGCCACCACCTTGGGGACTCATCTCCATCCCCAAGCCAGGCGATGGCCAAGGGCTCATCCTGGGTCCCTTGGGGACGTGCTGGGGACGCGATGGGGACTCCACTCACCATGGGGACGATGGCCACCTGGTAGCCGTCCACGGGCTCATGTGGCTGTGACCAGGCCACCTGGAAGGACGTGTGGCCGCGGGCGACAACGCGCAGGGTCACTGAGGGGATCTCTGTGGGGACAGGGCCCTGTCAGGGAGTGCCACCGCAGGGACACCCACGGGTGGCAACACCCGTGGGATGGGGACATCCTGGGGACACCACAGGGTGGGGACACCCATGGGGTGGGGACACTGTGGGGTCACCCATTGACAGGAACACCCTGGGGACACCCCAGGGGGAGGGGACACCCTTGGGACGGGGACACCCTGGGAATGGGGCACCATGGGGACACCCTAAGGATGGGGCACCCTTGGGATGGGGACACCCTGGGAATGGGGCACCCATGGGACAGGGACACCTGGGTTTGGGGACGGGGATAACCTGGAGGGGCACTGGGATGACTGGGAGGGGCACTGATGGTTGCACTGGGATAACTGGGATAACTGGGGGGTTGCAGTAGGGATTGCACTGGGATAACTGGGGGCATTGCACTGGGAATTGCACTAGGATAACTGGGGGCATTAGGGGCTGGGGACTGGGATAACCTGGGGTTGCACTGGGATAACTGTGGGGTTGCAGTAGGGATTGCATTGGGATAACTAGGGGCGGTGCACTGGGAATTGCACCGGGATAACTGGGGGCATCAGGGGTTGCACTGGGATAACTGGAGACATTGCACTGGGAATTGCACCGGGATAACTGAGGGCATCGGGGGTTGCACTGGGGTAACTGGGAGTTGCACTGGGATAACTGGGAGCGTTGCACGGGGAATTGCACCGGGATAACTGGAGGCATCAGGGGTTGCACTGGGATAACCTGGGGGGCTTGCACTGGGAATTGCACCGGGATAACTGGGGGCATTGGGGGTTGCACTGGGGTAACTGGGAGTTGCACTGGGATAACTGGGAACGTTGCACTGGGAATTGCACCGGGATAACTGGGGGCATCAGGGGTTGCACTGGGATCACCTGGGGGGCTTGCACTGGGAATTGCACCGGGATAACCGGGGGCATCGGGGGTTGCACTGGGTTAACTGGGGACGTTGCACTGGGAATTGCACCGGGATAACTGGGGGCATCAGGGGTTGCACTGGGATCACCTGGGGGGCTTGCACTGGGAATTGCACCGGGATAACCGGGGGCATCGGGGGTTGCACTGGGTTAACTGGGGACGTTGCACTGGGAATTGCACCGGGATAACTGGGGGCATCAGGGGTTGCACTGGGATCACCTGGGGGGCTTGCACTGGGAATTGCACCGGGATAACCGGGGGCATCGGGGGTTGCACTGGGTTAACTGGGGACGTTGCACTGGGAATTGCACCGGGATAACTGGGGGCATCAGGGGTTGCACTGGGATCACCTGGGGGGCTTGCACTGGGAATTGCACCGGGATAACCGGGGGCATCGGGGGTTGCACTGGGTTAACTGGGGACGTTGCACTGGGAATTGCACCGGGATAACTGGGGGCATCAGGGGTTGCACTGGGATCACCTGGGGGGCTTGCACTGGGAATTGCACCGGGATAACCGGGGGCATCGGGGGTTGCACTGGGTTAACTGGGGACGTTGCACTGGGAATTGCACCGGGATAACTGGGGGCATCAGGGGTTGCACTGGGATCACCTGGGGGGCTTGCACTGGGAATTGCACCGGGATAACCGGGGGCATCGGGGGTTGCACTGGGTTAACTGGGGACGTTGCACTGGGAATTGCACCGGGATAACTGGGGGCATCAGGGGTTGCACTGGGATCACCTGGGGGGCTTGCACTGGGAATTGCACCGGGATAACCGGGGGCATCGGGGGTTGCACTGGGTTAACTGGGGACGTTGCACTGGGAATTGCACCGGGATAACTGGGGGCATCAGGGGTTGCACTGGGATCACCTGGGGGGCTTGCACTGGGAATTGCACCGGGATAACCGGGGGCATCGGGGGTTGCACTGGGTTAACTGGGGACGTTGCACTGGGAATTGCACCGGGATAACTGGGGGCATCAGGGGTTGCACTGGGATCACCTGGGGGGCTTGCACTGGGAATTGCACCGGGATAACCGGGGGCATCGGGGGTTGCACTGGGTTAACTGGGGACGTTGCACTGGGAATTGCACCGGGATAACTGGGGGCATCAGGGGTTGCACTGGGATCACCTGGGGGGCTTGCACTGGGAATTGCACCGGGATAACCGGGGGCATCGGGGGTTGCACTGGGCCCACCCCGTCCCCATCAGCGCTGCCAGTGCCAGCAGCAGCCCCGGCCACATGGTGCTGTGGGGACATGGGTGTCAGTGAGACACGGTGGCATCAGTCATGGTCTTGACCCATGATGTCAACCACGGTGTCACTACCCATGGTCTTGATCCATGGTGTCACCAACCCATGGCATCAACCATGATGTCAGCAACCCATGTCCTTGACCCATGGTGTCATCACTTGGGCATCAACCCCTGGTGTCAACCATGATGTCACCAACCCATGGTCTTGACCCATGGCCTCCCCCGTGGTGCCACTATCCGTGGCCTTGGTCCACGGCATCACCCTTGGTGTCACCAATCCATGGTGTCACCCATGGTGTCAACCATGGTGTCACCAGCCCATGCTCTTGACCCATGGCATCCCCTTTGCTATCACCACCTGGGCATCAACTCAAGGTGTCATCACATGATCCCCAGCACCCACCCATGGTGACAGCCCCCAGACTCCCCAGTAACCCCAGTGCTCCCAGGAAGCACCGATGTACCAGGAACCCCAGGGTCATCACTAACCCCGGTGACATCAGGAACACCAGGGACACCAGCCCATAGCAGTAACACCAGGTGCTCCAGGATAGCCCAGTGCTCCTGGTGTCCCCAGTGTCCCCATTTGCTCCCAGCCCTCCCAAGACTCCCAAGTTGCTCCCAGTGCCACCCCGGGGAACTACCTGGGCCGGTCCCGATGTTGCTCCGATCTGGACCTGGAGCTGAACCTGGTTCTACAGCTGGTCCCGGAGCTGATCCTGATCCCAGTCCTGGTGTGGGGCTCGTCCCAGTCCCGGTTAGGATCCCGATACCGGTTCTGATTCCAATCCCGGAGCTGATCCCGGTCTCGGAGCCGATCCCTGTCTCAGAGCGGATCCCGGTGCCAGCGCGGGCCTCGTCCCGACCCCAGTTACAATCCCAGAGCCGATTCCGGTCCTGGAGCCGATCCCAGACCCGGAGCCGGACCCGACCCGGAGCAGATCCCGATCTCTGAGCCGATCGGGTCCCGATCCCGGTTCCGGTTCAGGTCCTGATCCCGGCCCTGGAGCCGATCCCGATCCTGGTTCCGCTCCAGGCGAGGGACTCGTCCCGGTTCAGGTCCCGATCCCGATCCAGGTCCCAGGAGGCTCCTCCCCCTCTCCTGCAGCTCCGGCACGGGGTCGGGACCCGGTTCGGTCTCGGCGCGGGGTTGGGAGCCGCAGCCCGGTCCGATTCAACCCCGACCGGTCCCGTTCGGCTCTGCCTGGTCCGGTTCGGCTCAGCCCGGTCCGGTTCGACTCTACTCGGTCCGGTTCGGCCCCACTTCAGCCCGGTTCCGTTCGGCTCGGACCGGCCCGAATCGGTTCGGTCCGGCCCGGATCGGCTCGGACCGGCTCGGATCGGTTCGGATCGGTCCGGA